AGGTTGGGGTCTTTAGTGAACTCAAAAACATGGCTGACAGCCAGCAGTTCAACATATTGTTCATGCTACAGTCCTACAAACCCCGCAAAGAGCAACAAAGGCCACAGTGCGAAAAACAGCATGGTGTTCATGAAAATCAGCTCCATCGTCACACTTTCGTAAGCTGTTGGGCTCTGACACACTGAAGACGAGAACAGCAGGTTAATGTCTAAACCCTGGCTAGTGCGTTGTCTAAACACCACGCTGCAACAAATCAATACCTGTCGGGTGGGTTGTCGCGTTGTTGCCCACATCCCCCTCGTCGCTCTCTGGCAACGACAGCGAGGCAAACGCCACAACATCAGCCTGCACAGGGGGGTTGGTCAATGTGGCTTGCGTAGAATGGGCTGGTGGGGCGGGAGTAACCCCCGCAGGCACAGGAGTTGTTCCGACGTGCACAGCAGTAGCTCCACCGGGAGGGGTGGGCTGTGCAGGTGCAAGAGCCACGGCAGGAGGGGCGATGCCTGCATTCGCCGGGGCAAGTGTGGTTGGAGCAGCTGCGGGTGCGGTTGGCGCTGCTGCCACAACAGCGGGGGATGCAGGGGTGGGGTTGGCACCACCGAGGGAAGCAAGCTCGACGCGCCACCTTTCCCACCGCCCCCAGACGCGTGCGGTAGTGAGCTGCCGCACGATCTCGGCCGTGCAGCCATCCAGCAGGTCCATCTCCTCGCCGGTGAGCTGCCACACACGACCCCGGGGAGGCTTGCTCCGCCTGAGCACGGCTGCAGCTGCAGCGAACGCGCGGGCCGCTTGCTGCTGGTCTTGGAAGTGGCCAAGAATCAGCGTCCTTGATGACCCGGGCTCAGGGACAATCTTCGCTTGCCAAGTTCCGTCTGGGAGGAGCCTAACACCCGCGTACTCCCCCGATCCAACCACTCCCCCGACAGAGTGTGATGGCGGTGGCGGCGGGCCCATACACCCAGAGTGATCCTCCGAAGGGGCAGGCAGAGCTCCACCGCGCGCAACGCAACGATACGAGGTCAATGCATCGCCGGGCGTACCGGGCAGCAGCCCGTTGATAACGCCGTGGGCCGTTTGAATCTGATGAGAATCCCCTTGCTGCTCGAGTTGCGCAGTCGGCGCCAGAATTTGCTGGGTGGCAGGGTCGTCGGTTCTCGCGCTGGGTCCGCCAGCTCCTCCAATACGCCCCTGCTGCGGCGGTGCTGGTAAGGCTGCTACTTGCGCTGACAACGCGGTGAGCTCGTCGCGGGTGGTGGACAAGTCGTTGGTGAGACTCTCCACCAGGAGCTCGAGCTTGGTGATGTCTTTCTCACAGTACCCCACGCGGCAGGAGATGTTGTGGATGTCGCCGACAGCATCACGCAGCTTCGCGTCGATTTCGGCCAGCTCTGGAGACACTGGCTTGTTCACGCGCTTGCTGAGCGGCGGATCTTGGTGGGGCACCATAACTCCAGACCTCTCCAGGGTTGGGATCAACCGCTTGAGTGCATGTTCGACTATGTCCGCACGCATCCCCCTCCGGAAAAGGCCACCACCATAGGGCAAAGCTGGCAGCCCATCGTCCAGATTAGCGAAGCCACGGGCAACCAGCTCAGATGCGTAGATGCAAACGTAGACACCACAGTCTACTTGGTTGGCCTGCATCGGGCACTGATAGTACTGCACACGCGAAAACAAACAAGGTGAGCAATATTGATGAACGTTCCATGGATGAGATCTGATAAAAAAACCCTGCGCGAAAGATTTGAGTGCTTACCCCAAGCGGGACGCAAGGCATCGGATCAAGCCGCTGCTTGATTGCGGTGGCAGAGAGGCCGGGCTCCTCGGCTTGTAGCGCCAGACCGAGCAGCCTGGACACAGCAACGAAGCATGGATAAGTGCATTACAAGCGGCGAAGCAACCATGCGATCATTAGCACGACGAAACTTAGGAGGCGATGCATGCCCGTGCAACTTACGTTTGGATCTCGGCGAACACCGACGGAGCCATGTTCCGATGATCACCAGTCGAGTCGAGCAGGTAGGCCACCGGAAGCTCCGTGTTCCCCGATTTTATAGCAGTTGTTCTTGCCCTGCCAGGCTCCTTGACAACAACAAGGCTGAAATGCCTTGGCTCACTGCCACAATACCAACTTAAATGTAAGTACACAGCATGGCGATGCCGCGGTACGCGCGTACATCGAGATTGAGCATGCATGTCTTACAGTGTAGTTACAACTACAAGGACGTAGTTGTAGTCAAGGATGGTGCCGCCCTCGAATCCAGTGAAGAGAACCTGTTGATTCGCCGCCATCAGATACGCTCCAGTGTCAAGCGCAACCCATGTCTCCCCGCTTGGTGTTTTGGAATGCCTGATGCTCAGCAAACTGCGCGGGGTGAATACACAGACACGGAGAGCCGGTGTTAGGCGCCGGCAATATAGTGTGAGTGTGCTTACCCGCGGGAACAACGCACTCACATGTTGTGGAAGTCGATTAATGCCGTGCTGAGCTCGTATCCATCCTGAATGCGCATCGCGTCAATAGGGCTCACGAAGGCGTTTTGGCCGATGGCGTTGTACAACGGCTTCGTTGGGAAGTGCTGACTCTTGATGGTAGGGCCGCGACAGCCTTTAGTTTGAGCCGGCGGCCCACGACCTTTGGTGAAGGCGGAGATGATGTCATCGACGGGCGGCAACACCTCCTTGTTCACTATGTTGGTTTTGAAGTTGAATCCACCGGTGCTATGCTGCTTCTCCGGTCCTTTCCGTTGCTTCCCCTTTCTCCTGCCTTTCCCGTGCTCGTCGGTGACGAGCTTGACGTCCGAATCGTGAGATTCACCGCCGTCGGATTCCTCGTGGCCTGACTCATCCTGCCGTTTACCGAGGACCGTTTTGCTACGAAGATCCATCACACGCCCAGAACGCTATACGCCACCGAATAGCTGGCAATTTGCAATGACTAAGGTATCGCGAGTACAAGAAACAAACCACAAAGAGCACAAAGGTTGGATGATTGTTGATAGCTATCACAGAGGGAAAGGGTGCGAGAGAGGGGAGCTGTGACGGTCGTGATGTGGCATGAAAGCTCATGTTCAGAGGTTGGCGGCGAGGATAAGTTCATGAATGCAGGATTAGGTTCATGTACGCTGTCAAAACCGCCCTCGGCAATTGGTCTGAACTCATGCTCGTGCATGACCGTCGATTGGTCGCCTGGTTGTACATTACCGTACATGATCGGTATCGAGGTACCACTCCATGTCGTTGCTACACTACCTATAACGTTGGCGCGTCCAAACGGAGCCAGTGCATGTTACTCTGACGCGCTGAACAAATCACCAATTTTCCGACCAATAAGAACAACCACCCGTGGCGAAAGTGTGTAGCCTGGCTGGAATTTGGAATTGGTGACTCTTTGTGACTTTTACGCGAGAGCATGCGGCTGCCCGAATGACGGTGGGGAAAGGGCGGGAAAAGGGGGCTGGGGGGGCGGGGGGAAGGGAGGTCCATTCAATTTAGACAAACGCCCACGTGGCGAGCGGGGAGCAATTTAGGTCGACTCAATTGAGACAAACACGATTTTCGCCGATGCGCGCGATTTCGCCTTTCAAGTAACACCAGAGCAGAATTTCCGAACGACATTTTTTCGGATGATAGCGACTAGCGCCCTCGCGACCTGGCAACCTGGCGACCTAGCGAACTACCCGTGGCCTACCCTATCGCGATCAAGAACTGTCGAGTGATCTAGTGAGAAGGTAGTGGGCGGTCCAGAGTTTCATCGTGCGAATTGGCGTTGACTAGAAAATACCACGGGAAGATGGCAGTCGTGTGTGATGCTCGTCATCTATTCCCTACTAGCTATGATGGGATCTCAGTACGTGGTCTATCATCCAGATTAAGAAGAGGGCATCACCCTCACACCTCTCCTCCCACGCCCTATCCTTCTTCTCCTCTACCATGCACAATCCCTCTCTGTGCGACTACGCCGCCGCCGTTCGCAAGACGCACAAATGCGCAATTGGCACGGGCGCATCAGAAAACGGCGGATACGATTTTTTTTCGCCCTCCCCTCCCGCAGCTTCCTACCAATTTCTTGCTTCCCCCCAGCGAAATGTGGTCATGATTCCTTTCTCGGCCCTTCTTCCGTAACTGCTCTGTGACGTATTCTCAAAGGATCGCCTCAAAAGGAACGTCAATTGTGCCCAGTCAACTGGATTCCGTATGCGTTGACTCAGTAGCGCTACGGTAAAACTGCTGGCCGACATCGTAATGTCGGCGGCGACTCGAGTGAGCGTCACGGGCGTCCTTGCTGCTCCGCGAGTGCCGAGGAAGCCGTCGCGCCGCGTCGCAGCTGCGTCGAGGCAACGTCGCGAGCACCGCAGGCGTCGGACTGCACGAGCAGTTGGCGATGGTGGGTCAAATGGCGATCAGCATTGCCTTCCTCATCGTCGCCTTCAGCGCTGGTGGGAGAATTGTCTTCTCCCTCCCTGCTCTTCTCCCGTGAATGTTCCCCCTGATCCTCACCAATGTTTGCTCCTTATCCTCCTAAGCTTGTTTTTCTAAATTTCCATTCATTATGTACCCATTCCAAGACATCTAAACTCCCTTCTCTCCTCCAACCCCTTTCTTTTCTCCCCCTTTCCCCCCTCTTCCCCCCCAGTCCACCCCCTCATTTCTCCCCACTCCCTCCCCCCTCATGCTTCATGTCACCCTCTCACAAGATACGGCGAGTTACTGAAACCCCTGCTGCTGCTGCCATGTGGGCTCTGCAGCGGCAGTGGCAGCGGAGGCGGCGGCGACGCCAGCCGGTTGCTGGCGGGGGTGAAGCACATTGTGGCTGTGGCATCTGCGAAAGGCGGCGTCGGCAAGTCCACCACTGCCGGTGCGCCTCATCGCCTGATTGCCTCACTCTGCCGTGCCCGAAGCCACTTACTCTCGTTCCCCTCATACCCCTCCTGATCTCTCTCACCATGCCCGTCCCCGTCCCCTCCCCCTCCCCTTTGTATCTCCCGTCCCTTCACTGCATGTCCTCTGACTTCCTTACATGCGCTGCTCTTACATGCTCTCCCCCCATCCCCCCATCTCCCCATGCTTTTTTTTCCCCTTCTCCCCATCCACTGCAGCTGCTCGCTTCTCTCTCCTTCCATTCACCGCTCACTGTCAGTGTGCCCCACGCCGCTTCTTCTTCGCCCGTCGGATCCCACCCCCCTTTTCATCCCCTTCCCCTTCACTCCATGTCCCACCATGGCGTTCTCATACGCTCTACTTACCTTTGCCTCCTCCCATGCACCGCAACTCCCTTTTCCCCCGTGCCCGCATCCCCCTCTACCTACCGCCTTTCTCAACATTCCCACATCCCCCCTATCCCTCCCTCCCCAATACCTCATTCTCTTTTTCACCCCTCTCCCACCCGATCCCCATGCCCCATCCATTCCCCCATTCCCCCATCCTCGAGCCCCTCCTATCCCCCCTTCCCCCCTCCATTTCTCCATCTCGCCAGTCCCCCGCCTTTTCCTGCAGTGAACCTCGCGGTGCTGCTCGCCCAAGCTGCCCAGGCTGGACTGTGCCGCCCGCCCCCTTCCTCGCCTCTGACTTCCATCTACGTCTCTCTCCCTCCCTAACCCTTTGACATATATCCTTCTCTTTCAAATCCCCCACCCCTCCGCCCTCCCTCTCCCCTTTCCCTCTCCCCTTTCCCCTTCCCTCGCAGTGGCCCTCGCCCGCCACATGCTCGAAAAAGTCTCCCACCCCATACCTAACACCCCATGCATATCTCCCCTTATTCCCCCATCTCCCATCCACTGCAGTGAACTTGGCAGTGGCCCTCGCCTGCCACATGCCGTTGCTGCTAGGGTTGCTTGCCTAGAAAATTTTCACCTTGGGCTGCCCAGAAAAAAACTCCCGAGCGTATTGCGTATTTGCTAGCGTATTGCGTTTTGCGTGTATACGCAAGCGGATAAACGCTATACGCTTAAAGGCAAAAGCGTATTTCGCCACTTAGGCCAAAAGCCTGGTAGCATGATTTGTGGGATGTGCGACAGAGATCTGGCGTGCCTACTGGTTTCTGATGCAGCTACTAGTTTCGAATGCTGCTAATGGTTGTATAAGTGGAGGGTGTCTCAACAATCTCGCGTGTTGCACTCCTCTCCAAACCTCACTTTTCCTATCGTGTTTTTTCCAAACCTCATTCCTTTCACCTCCCCCCTCCTCCTTCCCTCCTCTTTCTCTCCCCCCTCATCCCATCATCTGCACACGTGTCCACATGTGATTTGAGCAACAGCGATGGTCTACACCCATGCTGCTGTCAAGCTGTCAGATCTCTCCCTGACCTTTACCAGGCAGCGAGACGTGTCCCGATCGGTGAAACTCCCCAAGGAGCAACTGACCGACTCATGCTGTCAGACGAGCACAAGTGAATCTTTCGGTTTTCCTATGTCTGTTAATATCAGTCTGTTACGGTTAAGTAAGTCTGTTAGCTTTCATCCCACTGTCTGCGCACATGCTCTCATCCACATGCTGCCAGACGGGCATGAGGGAGTTACTTGACCTAATGGTCCTCTGATGGCCATGATTGCTTCTTCCCTTCCGTAACTGCTCTGTCATAATCTCGAAGAATAGTGTCAAAAGGAGCGCCACTGTTGCATTATTTGGACACCGTATGAGCTGACTCAGCAATTGCACTAACATTGCTCACCATCATCCCTCATGCCTCCTATGGGCGATGGCAAGTCGAGCGAGGGTCGGCGTGCGTCGCCAGCTGCTCCTTGAGCACCGAGAAAATTTTGTAGCGCCGCGTTTATTGCGAGAAATTCGTCGCATGCGTCGCAGCGAATCGAATGGCGTCAAAAGACAATCAAGAGAACCGTCAACTTGCCGCTTTTGAGAATTCTGGTGCCATTGTCACCTCCTTCGATGCTGGTTGGAGGGTTGTCTTCGCCCTCCCTCCTCCTCTCCCCGTGCCTTCGCCCCCATTCCTCCCAGCTTTTTCTCCTCATCCTCATTCTGTGCTTGTTGTGCGCGATAGAAAAATTCCGGGTGGGGGGGGGGGGGGGTAGAGTCTGGCGCAGGGGAGGGGAGATGTGGGGGAGGCTGGGAGAGGGCTGGGAGAGGGCTGGGAGATGGGAGAGAGGGGGGGAGGTGGTGGAAGGCATGGAGAACAAAAGCAGGTGCGTTGCACCAGGGAAGAGGGGAGAAGTGGTGAAGGGGAGGGAGGGGGGAGGGGGAAGGGGGTTGATTGGTGATGAAAGTGTGAGGGTTGCGCAGCGAGGAGAAATGAGTGACAATGGTGATTGCAAACAGCCGTGTTTTGCTCTCAAGTCCCGACCCCTCCCACTTCTTCACCCCCCGCCAACCGTGCGGAATTGATCGATCAGGTGTGCACACACTGTGCGACATTCCCCACTCTTAGCTTCCCCCACTGTTCCCCTCCACTCCACCCCCGCCATTTCCCCTCTTCCCCCTCCCCCCCTCCCCATTCCCCCACCTCCCCTTGTTCCCCCTGCAGGTGTGCGAGGATGCGTGCCTGCGTACTGCATGGTACAAGCCGGTGCTGAAACGTCTCAAAACATCCCCGCCCTTCCCATCTATGACCCCCATCTGCTTGGTGTGCTGCAGGTGTGAGCACCACATGGTAGCACACTGAATGGTTCTGCAGAAGCATGTGCTGCAATATCTTGAAACACCCTAGCCCTTTCTCTCCCCTCCACACCCGTTCCTCCCCCCCCCGTGTCCCTGTCCTCCGCCCGCCAGGTTTGCACCAACTGTCTGCCAGCAGGTCGCCTGGTGCAGTTGTTTGAGACATCTCGAAGCATCCCCCTTTGTCCCTCTCCCCTATCCCTTGCGCACCTCTCCTCCGCCCGCCAGGTGTGTGAGGACTGCATGCGCAGCACCATGCGACCGCATGCCAGCTTGTGCCGACCGCATGGGGCTGCGCAAGCTGGCGCGAGTGGCCGCGGCTACGGGTGAGCCATGGGAATTGCAGGGATGATACGGGTAAGCGATTGGGGGGCGGGGAGGAGGGGAAGAGGGGATTAGGAGAGGGGGGGGGGGATAAACGCTGGTGGCACAGGACACGCATGGCCACGCATACAGATGAGTGAGGGCAGGGGGCGAGGGTATAGGCAGGATATCAAAAGGATTGACAGTTGGGGGCTGAAAGGGATACGGGGGTCGTAAGAGGCCATGGCTTGGTCAAAAAGGTGAGGTGAACGATGCAAGGCGTGAGAAGTTTCTCCTTTGTGCTCTGCCACGCCTCTCCCCTACCCCTTTCTCCCACAAGAAACAACAGCCCCCGAGGAGGCAGTGGAATCCAATGGGCAGCGCACGCCGTCTCTTTCTGACGTCCCTCCTTTAAAGCCACTCTCTGACCCCTCTCTCCTACCCACCCACCTCGGTCTTCCCCCTTTTCTCTCCTCCGTCGGCCGGCCCATGCCAGGAGTAGCCCGCCCTTGATGAGGCAGTGGGATCGGGAGGCCAGTGTGGTGAGGTGATGAAGGGCTGGAAACGCGGGGGGAACGGAGTCATTAAGGCGGAGAGCTGGTTCACGTCTTCTGGACCGAGAGCAAATGCGTGTGGCGCATCCAGCCTTCTCATGTCGATCTGGTCGCTAATCTCTGCGGATGCGTCATGAGTCCCCATCGCCTTGTATTGAACCTGCCTCTACCGAATCAGCTTTATAGCTTGTATCAATACCACTGCCATTGGCATTCCATTCACCACATGATACCATATCCCGTTAACCCATTACCCTATCATCCTTTCACCCCACCATCCCATTACCTCATTTCTCCGTCATTCCATCGCACCATCAAACCATTTCCCCATCACATCATCATCTTATCACCCCATTATCCCCCGCCATGCCCTTGCACCGGCTCTGGCACTCACTGCAATGGTTGTTGCTAAACAACTTGGCAGGTCACTGCCTGCCCTGCCCCTGCATGTGCCCACCTGCCTTGCTTGCATGAGGCACAGGCTACAAACCAGAAGCCAAGAGATTCGTTCCCTTGCTCCTTCACTTTCCTCCTTTTCTCCCCCTACCCCTGAACCCACACACCACCCTCTCCATCTCGTCCAGTGCATCATGGCAGGGCGCTGTGGTGTTCACCTCTCCCCGCCCCAATTGCGTTCCTTCTCTCATTGCTTCCTTCCTTGCCCCCCCACTCCCCACCACTTCCTTCCTTCCTTGTCCTCCTGACTACAGCAGCTGTGTGGTCAAACATAGCATTTCGAGTGCTTTCTGCCAGCAGTGTAGCTCCTTCTGCACCACCTGTGACAAGCCACAACCAGGTGAAATGCAATCTCTTTATGCGGGTCGCTGCAAGTAATATTGCCTTTCTGACAACGCTCTCATTCGTGCTGAGTGCATGAACACTGCACTGCCAACTACAGAACAAACTTCTGCAGTGCCACGCATCCACAATTTATGTGAAGAATACCTCGTGGCTTTTGCTGTTTTTTTTTTTTTCAACCTTTCAGAGTCTTCGTTTGCTTTCACTCCCACATCCCTTGCCCACCATTAATCCCACGTTTGATAGCCTTTTCCGTTCACTATATCCATCTTCCTACTCCTTAAATGTACCTCCCATCAACATTGCTAACACCCTCCCCATCGCCAATGCCCACAGCCTCCCCACCTCCTCCCTCGCCAACTCCTAGAAAGCCTGCAGCATCTGCTACCCAGTCTGAAGGCGGTTTATCCAACGGAGCCATTGCTGGCATTGCTGCTTCTGGCGCTGTGGCTATCCTAGTGCTGCTGCTGCTTACCTGGCTGATGTGCAAACGATACCACACCAGAGGGGCAACCGGAGGCACAGATGTGGACGGCAAAGATTTGAATGAAGAAAGTGCACTCCAAGGTAGGACCTTCAGTCTACGCTGTTTGGAATACAGCCTCCTTCCAAACCCTAAGTTCCCGTCCACATTGAATTCCTCATCTTTATCTTGTCTCCTTCACCACCTCTGACAGACTTAGAACCTGATCATTCCAACGCAGCATCCAAGGCAGAGAATAGGGACCCAGAAGGAGAAGCAGCTGCTGCAGCAGCTGTGGCTGTGGCTGCAGGAGCAGCGGAATGGGTGATGGAGAGAGACGTGGTGGTGGAGATGGAGGCAGTGAAGCCACATGTGTGCCAGAAGTTCATTTTGGAAGAACTCGCAAGCACAACGCGAGACTGGGCAGAGGGGAACAGGATTGGAAGCGGCAGCTTTGGAGATGTGTACAAGGGCGTGTCAGTGCATGACCCCAATGAAATGTGGGCTGTGAAGCGATCCAGGGTTCTATCCAGTGACTTCCTTACTGAGGTACAAGATGGTGCTGATAAGTCTTCTGGCCTCATACCCTAAACACGTTGCAATGCTGTTATTGGACATTCTTTGTAGGACACACACACATTCATCCAAACTCACATGCACATTCAGGCGCGTTTACGCGCGCGCGCGCACACACACACACACATGCACACATGTGCGCACACACAGCAAGATGCACACATACACATACTCACACACACTTTGTCAAACACAGACACGCACTTTCCCTCTTGCCCGCTTCCTTTTTTATTTTCCCCAATATTGCATGTGATAAATTTGGCACTTGGATTTTGCTGCTGTGTTTATTCAGATATCATTACAGTACCATTCTTGTACACGCATGCATACACTATTATAAACACATTCACTTCACTCTCTTCCTCTTGCCTACTCCCTTTTTGTTTTTCCTCTCCCATCTCGCAGGTGAAGGAGATGGCCAGTAAGCACCACCCCAACCTGGTGCGGCTGTTGGGCTTCTGTGTGCACTATGATTCCAGCACGGGCCAGATTGAGCAAGTGCTCGTGTATGAGTTCATGGCCAACCGGGACTTGGAGAGCTGGATTGGACCAGGTAATAAAACTTCACTTGTCTATGATGGATGTCTTATTATACTGTTTGATAGCCATTATCTTGGAGTAGTTACTGAGTGTGACGTGAGTGGCCCATGTGCCCTGCACTTGCCGTGCCACATACCTTGTATCATGCCTTCCAAACCCTTTCTTCAGATTACAATGTCCATTCCTTAGGGACAAGCAATTCAATAAAATTCCCATTGGAACCAATTCTTCCATTACACCTTCCTAGGAGCTCCAAGTCATCTCTCTCTGTTGCAACGACTGGATGTTTTGATTGGAGTGGCCAAGGGGTTGCAATATCTTCATGACTTCGGCATTGTGCATCGCGACATCAAGGCAGCCAACATTCTGCTTGATGCAAAAATGCATGTACGTCTAACTATGTTTTCTCCTTGCATTTTGTATGACAATTCACCAACCTAACATTTTCTTTCTTCTTTTACTAGCATGTCTTGACATGTTGAAAGCACTTGGTGCAATTGACTATCTTAATTTTGCATACAAACTGTTGTTCAGGCCAAGATTGCAGACTTTGGTTTGGTAAAGCTCACTGGAGGCACCGCTATGGGCACGTCTGTGGCTGCCACTCGAGTGATGGGGACTCCGGGCTATGTGGACCCTGCCTATTACAAGTCCCACAAGGCCACTTCAGCAGCAGACGTGTACAGGTGAGCGGGTGAAGATATTTCATTGAGTTGAGTAAGAAACCATCTGTGGCTACCACTTGAGTGATTGGAACACTCCAGCAGCAGGTGTGAGCATAGAAATGTATTTTTCTTCCATTTGTGATGTGGGTAGGGCATAGAAATGCTCCTCTGAAACGTCTCACATTAATCTCCATTCTCTTGTCCCTCTTTCTGGTTGGTCTTAACAGCTTTGGTGTGGTGATGCTGGTTGTCATCTCGGCACGCAAGGCCGTGCATGTGAGCGAGACCAGCCAGATCAGTCTGAAGCAATGGGTGAGCCACAGTTTCTTGGCACAGTCTTACTGCTTGAGTACTTCATGAAATTCCTGCATGACTAATGCTCTACCCTCCCCTCATGAGCATGTAGTTCAATCAACAATCATGTGTTCTCATGTCCACGTGGTTGTGTTCTCATGGTTGTGTTCTCTTTCAACCCAACAGATCGCCCCATTCGTGGAGTCAGATGCTGTGACAGTCTTCAAGGACCCGTACTTGGACGCACCAGATGACTTGGTGCTGCGCTGGGCTCGCCTTGCCCTCTCCTGCACCGCCATGCCTGCGGCCTCCCGCCCCTCCATGAATCAAGTGCTGGGGGAGCTGGTGAAGTTGAAGCAGGAGGCGTCCGGAGCACATGAAAGCCATGTGGGCGAGGCAAAATCTCGCATCGACATGGAGCTTGGGAGTTTAGGTGGCTCCTCCAGCTTCACTGCTGAAATGGCCCGTGTGGAGCGTGAGGGCATGCCAAGCAGCTCTTCCACATAATCAAGTTCGTTTTCACTTGCTCCTAACTGGTTTACATAGAGCTTCTGGTACCAATGAATTGTGCCATTGGTGTGAGGTAATATGGCTTGTTGAAAGACGTTTAGTAAAGGATACTGGTAGCATCTTCGGTGATCAGGTAGATGGAACAATAAAATTGGGTTTATCACACCAAAAGCAACAATTAAAGCTTTGGCTTGTCTATGGGTACATTTTCTCGATTATCACATTTTGTAAATCTCTTACCTGTTGCATGCATGATATGTGCTACATTGTAGAATAGCTTCAGTCATGATCAATATGGGATTTCAGGATGGAAATTATAAGCCTTTTCTGTGGCAGCAACAAACATCGGGCTCATAAAGCACTAAACTCTCAACTTACCATAAAAGGCTGCACTAGATGATGATATGATATACCGTAGCCCTCTGGTAGTGGGCCTGGTGGCGCTACCAGACTCCGAGCCCCCTGCACGCGAGCTGGCTCCAGCTGTGCTACTCACCTCCCCTCCAACCTCCACCACTCAATGGTCGATCACGGCCAGTTACCTCAGGTTTTGCGCATGACCCGGCAATACTGGCAAGACACTTCATGAATTCGACACTTCAAGTTTTAAGTCAAACATGTAACTTGTGATTTCCTATACGCTAAAAACACAGCACTAAACTATGTACATAGGCTGAATTATCAGCTTAGATATTACAGTAAACACTGAAATTTCAAAGTCTTTTGGTTGGGGAAAGCTGAACTCCCAGCTTAATCAATGGATCAACCAACCCTATGAGCAACCTAGGGGCCTGATCCGGACAATATCCACTTCTGTTCAGTGCCTTGTCATCTGCTACACATGGGCAAAAGGGGTTTATTCTTCATAGCCCTTTCATAGCAATGACATGTCAGATGCGGTAGGGGAAGAGCCTTCTGGGGGGAATGAAAACTGGCAACAAAAACATGAGTATAAGGGGGTATGGAGAGAGACTGGGGAAAATAAAACCATAATCCAGTGGCGATAAGGCCCAAAGGCCCTTACAAATAAAAAATAACTTGGGTGAACATTAGAGAAATTCTTGAGTGATAAAAAAATGACTTGCACCGAGCACAGATACTCCATGAAGCCCA